CTCCCCTCCCCTCCCCTCCCCACTCTGTGCTTGATCTCAGCCAGAGCTTCCTCAGCGCAGCCCTCTTTGCTGGACAGGCAAGAAGGCACCGCTGGTCTCAGGACGGAAGACCCTGGGAGAGTCAGAGCAGGTGGTGTAAAACACAAATGTAGAAGAGGGCTCAGGATCATTACTCAGCTTTATTTTATTTTGCTGTAGCTAATTACTGAAACGGAATAAAAGGCACACCCATGGAGATTCAAGCTTTCATTCAAGAACCTTATTCTGGACCCAGAAATCTGAACCTTACAATAGAAGCATAAAACTGCTGTTTTACAATTATTTGGGTGACAAAATAAGAAATGAAACCTTTTTTACAGTGTTTTCTCCTTTATCAAAATCAGAAATGAACACTGAAGTATTTTAAATTTGAACATACTCCTAACATGAGGCAGACATTAGTTTAAAAGTGCCTCAGCAGCTTCAAAAATGTGCCTTTTTTTTTAAAAGAACACATTTTAATTTCAAATGTCTTTTTCAAAAGATAAATCATTCTTATACATGAAACATTTTGCACTGTTCAAAAGACAGATCTCAAATCAATGCAGAAGTGTCACATGTTGCCACTGAAGGTCAAACAGAAACATCTTTTGCTAGACCCAAGTTAAGATTAGGGTATTTCACAGCCCTGTAAGAATGTTCTTCTTTTCCAGCTGGATTTGGGGGCCAACTCACCCTTGTAGCAAGTCCCCTCCAGCCTGCAACACATAATCCATGATTTTCCTCTAGTCTGGCCACTAAAGTAGAATTTAAATTTTATGAATAAATGCACCCATTTAATCTTGTATTTTTAAAGGCACTCACAAAACAAAGGATAGGGCTTTTAGGTGGGAAAAGGGAGGCAGATGTGGGCGCATCTGGCTGCACATTTCATTTACATCAGCTTAGACCCACAGTCTTTCTTGAGTGGAGGGAAGGGCTCCTTCATGCCTTTCTCCTTCTAAGTGTGGCCCGTGGCAGGTCAGGTGGCAGCAGCTCCAACCTGAACTGAGCAAACGCCTCCTGGGACTAAGCTCAGTCCGAAATCGTCCCCTGCCTGCCTGCCAGCCTGCTTTTCCGACGACTGCTGCTCCATTCAAAATGGGATGGGTTCCTATTCCAAAACGCCTCTGTCTCCAGGTCAGGGCACCCCATCCTGTCTGGATTATGCCTCAGTTGTTAGCCTTCATGTAGCCCACGACCACTGCCAGACACAAACTGAGATGATCAACTTCCCTGATAACAGAACCATGAACCCTCCACACACGGAGGATGATGTGCCGCAAATCCCTGTACAATGTTTCTTAGTCATTATAATCTGATGTTTAACACAAACTTGTTCCTGCTAAATGAATGGACAAATCAAACCAAAATTCCAGCTATAATAATCAGTGGATTCATTTATTTAACTACACTTATGTGCCATTCCAGCCACTATAGACTCAGAGCAGCTCCTGATCCGACTCTATGCAAAGTACAGTGGTACCTCGGTTCACGAACTTAATTCGTTCCGCGACTCTGGTCACGACCCGAATCAAATTTTCCCACAAGGTTCAATGTAAATACAGTTAATCCGTTCTGACCCCTCCGAATTTGGTCACGACCCA